AAATTGCAAATATATCTTATAATGTTTTAAGAAAGTTTACAAATTTGTGTTGGGCCACATTCAAAGCTATCCTGGGTGGCATGTGGCCCACTGGCCGCGGGTTGGACAAGCTTGCTCTAAAGGCCCTGTGGTTAGAATTTAATGACCAAAGAATTACCCACCAACAACGGAAAGCAAAAGGTCCATTCCACACAGTCCCCCAAGAGAAAAAGAGTTGGCAGTGGCTATGATTCCTTTCCCCAGCCACCAGCCCCTGAAGGACAGAGGTGGCAGATGAAGATGAGGAGCACAGTCTGGCTTTATCTCTTGCTGCCCAGCTATGCTCAAGGCTTACCTTTCTTTCATCTCCAAAATCCAGCGCTCCAGTTTCAGGCTGAAGTACGCCAGCTCTTCACTGGTGCTTTTGCCTCCATTCTCCACAGCCTGGCACCTGTCCTGTCCACCCAGAGAGCCAGCCACATTTAGATAGAAGTTAGTGATGAATAGTTATTAGAAAATAATTTTTACAATTGCCTGTTGGCTTTTTGCTGGCTTTGTTTTCAGATGCTGGGTAATAATGCAGGTGCTAAGTCAGATGCAAAGGTGCGTCTTCCTTCCGGAAAGTACACAGGGCTCAGAAACTTGTTCAGAATGTATTTGCACTACGAAGTGGCTGATCCGTTCCTGTCAAGACCTTGTAAAATACCTGCCATTAACAGAAGTTACCTTAGCCCCTCTGAGAGGTATTTCATGCTATGGTTTATACAATATCAGCTCTTTCCTTACATGTGGCCTGAAAGACATTCTTTTGTTTCAGCTAGCCACAGATGTCCTGACTACCAGCTACTCAAAGTCCAGAATCCTTTGTTGGAGGCCTACTGTATGCCAGACCCTTTTAGAGTAGCCCTTAGCTCTCCCACCTTCTCAGAGTGGCACTATCTGCCTGCTCTGTGGATGAGCAAACTGATCATGTAGCACATTCTAGAGTAATTCTTACTGCAATTCAAGATGTGTTTTCTTGCCCTGATTCCTCCTCATGGAAAGAATTATCTCTGTAACTTCATCACTGTATCTGGCAGCAAAAAGAGAGAGCCTGTGGTAATTGAAAATATGCATATATTTTAAATCAACAGGAGTTTGATACTCTTCTTCTTGGCTGTATATCATCAAAGAATTCCTCAGTTGCACGAGTTCCATTATTAACACAGAAAGAGGCTAATAAAAGCTCTTATATACCAACAGCTTTCTCTTATTTCCTTCTCTCCTTCCTCTTCCCTTTCTACTTTCTTGCTTCCCTCCCTCCCTGTCTCCCACCCTCCCTTTCTTCCTCCCTCTCTCCTTTCCTCCCTCCCTTCCTTCTCCCCATTTTTCTTTGCTTCCCTTATTTCCTTGGATGATGTAAATCACAGATTGCAATAAACAGCCTAAAGGTTTTAGAGTTTCAGTGAACTAAGATTTACAGATCACAGCTAATCACTAGTTTGTCCTTACTACAGTAAACTTAACTTGTTGCCCTCTGTGCGGTTAAGGGAACCAAAACAAATTCAACTCCACACTCTCGTTATCCTCAGTGAGGTCCTGTGCCTTGACATGCATCACTTACAGTAAAAACTTTGGTTTTTCAAATTGATTCAGTGCCCCTCAGTTCCATCTGGAGAGTAGAAGTTGTCATGTAAAACAAAGACAACTCTGGTTTCTTCATAGAACAAGAGCCATATGTGGAACTGAAGGCACTACTTTTCAAAGTAGCTTGTTTCCAACAACAGCTTGGGGAATCTCCTTTTGTGATAGCAAGAAAAGTTAGCACAAGGAAACATAGGTTCCCCCACCAACCACCCAAATCCTTTAGTCTTTTCATGTTGAATCTTTGCCACTGAAACCTAAGGAAATAACTGGGTTTAAATATAATAGTTATTCGTTACCATAGCCTGATAGTAGGTGGGGTTTCGAAACAGTTTTTGTTTCCAGTATATGCCCTTTGATAATAGAATAACATGACCCTTTTAGTAATTAGTAATGCTTTTCAACAATTGCTCTCACAGAAGAAATTGGCGTGATTTTACAAGTCTGATTTGTTTCATATTAATATTTGTACATAGATGCAGGGAAGATCTTATAGGCATGCAGAAATACTATACTTAATAACATAGAAACAAGTAAAACCCCAATTGGAAAGCTTCTCATCCTCCTGTCAGATTGAAAAAACCAAAAGCCTAGAGAACTATGGCACTATGTATTTTTGATGGTTTGCTCATTAAGAAAAAAGTCCTATTTCTTTACAGAAGTATATAGCAGAACATAAAGGTTCTGGTAACTTGAAAAAACTGCAAAATTTCTCTTCTAAGCTCACAGAAATTAGCTTTAACTATGCTCTTTGTAATTCTAAGAAAAAGACCATATGATGTGATAAAATAGTAATAATAATAGTAATATTAAGGCATTATTCAAGGAATGGGGAGAAACGTTTTACTTTCATCGACTTTAACAACAAAACGTTTGCAGGAAATGCTCATAATTTAAAGTTAAGTGTAAGAAAGCAAAATACAAAATATCATGAGCCAAATTTTGTAAAAGCTGGAAACGGAGGTATTAAAAAGATTAAAAGGATACATACTAACATGTGAGCATTTGTTTCTCTGCATGTTGAGATTAATTATTGGCCATGCTCACGTTCTTTATTCTTTCATGCTACTTTCTACTTCTACAGTGATTACGTTATATTCTTTTTAAGATAAATGTATTAGCTTTAAAACACACAAATTAAAGTAACAGAAGGCCTTCTCTATTAGTAGAAATCAAACAGGAGAAATGTAGAAAATAATGTTGCTTTGGAAAGTTAAATTTTTTTTTTTTTTCTTTCTTTCTTCCTTTTTTCCAGAGGTCAGCAAAAGCCCTTTCCCTGTTTCTGTAAAGGGCTCTCTAAGTATTTTGGGCTTTGTGGTTCATACAATGTCTATTTTAACAATTCTGCTCTGCCATTGCAATGCAAAAGTAGTTGGATCATACGTAATGAATGGGCATTGTGTTCCAATGCAATTGTATTTATTAGCACAAATTTGAATATCATATACTTTTGTATATTATGAAATGCTATCCTTCTTTTGACTTCTTTGCCCACTATTTATAAATGTAAAAACCATTTATAGCCTATGGGTCATATAAAAACACATCATAGGTCAGATTTGGACCTCAGGCCATAGTTTGCCAACCCCTGCTCTATTGTGTTATTCTGCATTTTCCAGAAAATTAAAAATATAAATTATCTTTCAGTTTTCTTTTTAATAACATCAGAAAAATTTAAAATGGGTGCATGTGCTCAGATGGCTCAGATTACAAAAATGCGTTCCAGTGGATAGGAACCAGATTGGTTTCTGCTCCTGAATCTGAAATCCTAGGTCTGTCGGGGCTAGGTCTGCACTAATTAGAATTCCATTCAGGCTGATGAAAAAGGGTCTCTTTCCATGCAAGCCTGGCAATTCCAGAGCTGTCCGTCGCCACGTAGCTCCAGGTATCTGCCAACTGTTTCCACAACATTCTTCTGAGGCTTCACCAGGACCTTAGTGTGGAGAAGGCAATAATTCTCCTCTCTGGCCACCACAAGGGCTGAACTGGAGGCACTTTCCCCAGGGTATGACTCAGAAGTAACCCCACACTGGGACCTCGTTGGTTCAAAGAGGATGTTGTTACACCCACAGGAGATGGGTATGCGAAGCCAGAGACCATTGCAGTTCAGCATCGTGATCGTGTGGTCCTTTTGAGTGGCTACTGCAAGCTGCAGTGATGCTGGTGCATGAGGGAGTGGAGTTAGACCCTGCATGTCTCTTTCAAGTGTTAGTGGACTGTTTTGTTGAAGTCTTGCTTATTCCTGGAGTCTTTTGTTATTGTGCTTTTGTTATTTTTTAAATACGTTTTTTGGTCTTTAACTGCTTCATTATCTAGTCCAGTAGTGAATAGATTCATCCAAACTGAATTTACTGGGAGGTCGAGGCAGGCAAATCACTTGTGGTTAGGGGTTCAAGACCAGCCTGGCCAACATGGTGAAACCCTGCCCATACTAAAAATACAAAAATTAGCCAAGCATGGTGGCACACGCCTGTGGTCCCAGCTACTTGGGAGGCTGAGGGAGGAGAATTGCTTGAAACCGGGAGGCGGAGGTTGCAGTGAGCTAAAATCACTGTACTCCAGCGTGGGCTACAGAGCGAGACTCTGTCTCAAAAACAAAAAACAAATAAACCCTTCCAAACCACATCTAGACAACTCACAATAACTGTGGAGACAGGGACAGTGAGTGTCTTGGGGAGGTGCACAGTTGTGGGAGATGGAAATGCCATAAAAACCCAACATAGAGGCTGAATCAAGGAAGGCAGAATGTAGAATTCAAATAATCAATCAATCAATCACAAAGCACTTATTAAACACCTATCATGCTCTAAATCTCTGTGATCCCTGTCACCTTTTATTTGCTCTCTATACTTATGATTGGACAGACATGATGTGCTTCCAGCACTGAGGGAGGGTCAATGGAGGAGTACATGGAACATTTTCTTTTAATACAATTTTACAACTTAGTGAAGACTCAAAATTTTGCTTATCAGAAGAGGACTTTATTCAGATGATATAAGAGTACTAATTAGGATCCTTTATTTGTGTAAGATAATGTTTCTTTTTTGTGACGGAGTGTGGCTCTGTCACCCAGGCTGGAGTGCAGTGGCGCGATCTTGGCTCCGCCTCCTGATTTTGGTATTTTTTAGTAGAGACAGGGTTTCATCATATTGGCCAGGCTGATCTCTATCTCCTGACCTCATGACCCACCCACCTTAGCCTCCTAAAGTACCGGGATTACAGGCGTGAGCCACCGCGCTCAGCCTTGGAAGTGTTTCTTAATAGTTCCTGTTAAAAAACACCAAAAGCATGTCTATAGAGTTCATGTTTTATTTGGCAGAGAAGGGTCCCACTGTAGAAGGCAGACTTACAAGGATTTGAACATAAGGAGAGTCTGATGCGTTTGCTTTTCTTCTCAGGGAGAAGAATCCCTGACTTCAGAACCCCTGAGGCCCTGCAAGTGATTTGTATTAGAGCATCCCTGCAGTTGACTGTCTGACAGTCACCAGATGCTGGATTGATCTGTAAGTGCCAGAAGTGCACAAAGACTTCACTCCAGAAGAAAGAGCTCTGGGCTGGATTGTGACTCCAGCGCCCTGGAGGACTGGTAGGAAACATCATAAACTTTCTCGCTCTTTGACAGATCTGCTGTTTTAGTCCTTAGTAAACCAGCAAGGGCTATAGGTAATCATCTTGGTTGAAGAAATGGGATTTAGGTGCCAGGACTCCTTCAGATCTAGGCAGAGCTAGGGTGGGTTGTGTGGGCACAGGGGATGTTAAAAATGCTTTAGATTTTGGCAGGCTGAGCTGAGCTTGGTTTCTCAGTAACAAAGGGCAAGCTTCTCACTCCTTATCGGAAATGAAGGATGTTTCAGTATTAAACTACAACATTTCTCATTAGGTCAAAACATTTTGTAAGCATACATCTCTGGAATCACAAATGGAAAAATTTAATTTGTTTTGTAGAAATTGATTTTATAGATTTTTTTCAGGAACTTTTTTTTTTCTTTTTAAGGTAAGGTAGGTATCCTTGTATTATTCTTCTAGCTTTAATGAACCTCCTCTTCTCAGGTATTTTAAACACTCAGTGAAACTGACCTGGAAAAGGTGATCAAGAAGAAAGATAGCAGTCTCTCTCTCTCTCTCTCTCTCTCTCTCTGTGTGTGTGTGTGTGTGTATGTGTGTGTGTGTAATTGTGCAGGTGTGATGAATGAGAATTGCTGCTACATAACAGGCAAAACATAGATTTGTGCATCAGATAGGCACAGCTAAAATTCTAACTTCAGCACTACTAAGTAAGTGTTTTGGCGCAAGTTAGATGACCTCAGATTTCTCACCTGTAATATGGGTATAATCGTATCTATTTAGCACAGTATTTGGCACTAGCACACAGAAGAGGTGCTCAAGAAATGGCAACTTTGATTATAATAACAATGATTATTATGCCTTTTAACTCAATAGGCTCAGGAAAAAGTTTATGAAATTCATGGTCCACACTTAGATTTTTAGAAGTTCTATAGCTTTTGACTTTTGCTATTTGGGTAGTGAAGCTTCATGCCTGCTAATTTCTGTTTTGGGACTCCAGACTTCGAAATGTGTATAGATTTTTGCCAAGGCGATCGAAACCAGGAGCCGAGACTCATGGGTTGTGGACGTGAGGGCTGGCCAATCCGTTTTGTGTATCATTCATAAGCCTTAAATTGGTCATTCTTAAGGCCTAATAATGCCGTTGATCAGGATAACTTGGAGTCATTACCGTTAACTTGTTTGCCAAATAAATGAATAAAAAAGAGTATATGTTACTGGAACTTTCCTTCAGCTTAGTCCCACAACAACGGAGTGAAATTTGATAGAATGGGACTCAGATAGGAACGTTTTTGGAAAAGCTTCTCTGGTGACTCTTCTGCGCACCCAGATGTGAGATCCACTGACTCCAAACATTTTAAATTTAAATTATTTTTAATGAATTAATTGCCAGGACTACAAGTCTTTTTTATTTAACGTTTTTTTTTCTCTGTTGTCACTCTCAGCTGTCCTATCTCTGCGGGCTGTTTGTCCTTTCTCCTCCTCTTCTGTATTCCAGTTGGAAACATCTATGATGTTTATAATATCTGGGGAAGCAGCTCACCAAACTTTTTAGAATTGCGGTTCATGATCCTTCTACCCATTTGGCTGGTGGCTTTTTGGTTCTCTGAACTTCCAGTTTCAAGGTCACCAAGTATTAAAGGGGCCTGAGAACTAGGAGCCTGGAAACATGAATCATGGAGAAGAGAGTCAGCCAGTCCATTTGGTACTCAGTGGCTTCACAATTCTTAAATTGTAGTGCTTGAGCAGGAACCCCAGCGAATGCACTAGGTACTGAAAGGCAGAGCAGAAGCCACGGAGAACATGGAGCTGTGTTTTAATGCTACCTCCATCATTAGCTGTGTGACCTTGGGCCAGTAGTTGACCTTGCTGGACCTCTGTTTCTTTTCTTGTAAAATTAGGTAAAAATTTATGAAATATTTCCAGCAGAAAAATCACAGAGAATAATGTAATAATTACATGTGTACCTACCGCCCACTCTAATAAATCCTATTACTTTCCATGATGACTTCTTTATATGCTTGAAGATAATTTTGCAGCCTCTTTTGAACCCCCTCCCTAATCTTATTCTCTTTCCTCCACCCCTAAAAATAATCATTATCCATTAATCATTGCTGGAGTTTATCATTCCATGTATATTTTATATTATATCTAGGCCGGTTTACAATGTATAGGATCATCTTACTGGTTTCTACACTTGAGTGCTATGACTATTCATATTATTCTTCAAGGTACCTTTTTACAATTTACTATCATGTGTTTGAGGCTAATTCATGTTGATGCATGTGGCTCTGGTTTGTTCTGTATAATGTTCCATGACATGAATATACCATTTCACGAAGCCCATTCTTCTGTTGGTGAATCTGAGGTTATTCAGGATAGAGAAATTTCAAGGTCCCCTCCAGTTTGAACTTTCTAGGATCTGGCATGAAAATGTAATTTTTCTGAAGAAGTTTTGTAGCAACACCTTTGGCCTTTCCCACTGTCTCAGGTGTCCACTCTTTCAAAGGGCACCTCGTGGGCATGTGGGAGATTGCGGAAGTCAGATCTTTGGCTGCTGGGGTCATCACCGTGTTTAGTGAGCACAAAGAGGCCATTATCGTGCAGTGGATCGAAAAGCACAGACTTTGGAATCAGTCAGACTTTGTTTTACATCCTAACTTTGCCACCTGTGAGTTGTGTAATCTTGGGCAAACTACATAACCTCTGGGAACCTGAATTTCCTCAACTAGAAAATTAGAAACAGATGGTCTGGCTTGGTGGGTCATGCCTGTAATCCTAGTACTTTGGGAAGCCAAGGCAGGCTGATTGCCTGAGCTCAGGAGTTCGAACCAGCCTGGGCAACATGGTGAAACCCCATCTCTACTAAAATACAAAAATTAGCCAGGCGTGGCAGTGTGTGCCAGTAGTCCCAGCTACTTGGGAGGATGAGGCAGAAGAATCGCCTGGGCAACAGAGTGAGACTCCATCTCCAAGAAAACAGAAAAGTAGGAAAACAATTTTTCCTGCTTATGGTTGCCATGAGGATTAAAGACGATAATGTATATAAAGTACTTGGCAGCATGCATGCTTCCTAGTAAGAGCTTGATAAAGTGATAGAGCATATAGTGTGTGTGTGCGTGCGTGTGTGTGTGCGTGTGTGTGTGTGCACGTGAGAGGGAGAGGTAGAGACAGAGGATAAGAGAATGCCAAGGCTCTGCCAGGACCAGTGGGCATCTTCCCAAATTATTTCCCCAAGTTATTTCCAACTTAAGAAGCCTAGCACTTAGTTTGTACTTAATAAATATCTGATTACAAAAATGAATAAACAAGTATGTAAATATATGAGTGAGACAATTAGAAACCTGCATTGACCAGTGTGATCAATGGAAGAAATGACCACAGAGCAGCTTTTCAGTAGTTTCTATTAGTAGGGGGTGACTCAGAAAAGTTAAGAACATTTTTCCTGAAGATCAAATATTCTATTGTACAAATCGGTCACTTCCTTAAATTCCCTAAAACAATCCTGCTGAAATTTTAGACAAATGGTGGCCCCAGAAGCAGCCTCCAGCTCAAATATGCCCTACACTTTCCTATTTGTCACTGTCACAACTCTCTGTCCTAATTATTCCATCCTGTTTGATCAGCGTTCATCCTCTAGACAGCCTGACTTCTTAAGTGAATGTCCACGTTTACACTAGAGCAGCAGGCACTTCCTGGCTGGCTCCTTCCAGACAAGGAGCCTCTGTTCGCCTTGGGACTGGGGAGCAAACAGCCTCTGACTGTCCCAGCTGGGAGCAACAAGCCCAGTCCTGGGACAGGATATTTCACGTACATATTTCTGAGCAATAAGATGGGAACCAAACCAATTGGTTATAATATTGCCAGCCTTTGAAAAAGCAACACTCAGCAATAGCATTTACAGGCTAATGTTTAAGAAAATAAAACCTGTCTATCTACCCGGGATTCCTTTTAAGTGGTAGAGAGTTTGCAAAGGTGTACCATTTCTAAATAAAGTGCTTTTGACAGGAGCTCATGCTGAATGATGGTAGAGTATTGTTATGGTTCTGTTTTACTTTCAAGGCTGTGTTTATGTCCTGTCTGAAGCCTTTAAAAATACTGTACAGACATGTGAGAAACCAGTTTACTTGACTCCTATTTAAAAAAAGAAGGAAAAGAAAACTCACGCTTCTGCTCGACTTAGAGGTTAGTAAATTGAGTGTGGCTGGTTTGTGGCCATTGGGTTTGCTTAGGCTAAATGGATTCAAATCCCTGCTTTGAATCCGCTTTGGCCTGTCTTGGGGGTCAGATTGGGGCCTTTTGTTCAGGGCCATCTTGAGTGGCAGGAGGGCCAGGGAGGTGGAGGAATGACAAGTATTATAGGACTGTGGGTTGCTATTGTCTCACACTCTAGCTTCCAGAGCCCAACTATTTTCTTCTGTTGAGGGGAAAGCTGGAGAGGGAGAGAGGAGAGAGAGAGAGAGAGAGAGAGAGAGAGAGAGAGAGAGAGAGAGAGAGAGAGAGAGAGAGAGAGAGGGAGAGAGAGAGAGAGAGAGAGAGAAACAGAGGAGAGGTAGAAGGTAAGGGCCAGAGCAGCCCCAAGCCTGGCCATCCCTCACTGCCTCCATCCCCCACCCTGCTAACCCATCGCCTTCTCGCTGACCCAGACACAGAATATAAATGAAACACTTTGCCGGTGCAGGACACTAACTGGCAGTGGCCTGCTTGAGCTAAGGCCATTTTCTAAGCAACTCACTAATCAGAAGTGACTGAGGCTCTGAAGAGAATACAGCCCAGCCTGGGATCCACCCTCCATGCTAATGAAGAAGGCAGTGAGGTGGATAATTAAGGGCAGTGATGTGAATAATTCCAAACTGATAATTCGAAGGTAATGAAATGCATTAGGAGTTTGGGGGCAGCAGATTTCCCTTTCTAGACAGGGCTGTTTTATGATGAAATGAGCTTGCCTTTTTTAAGCACAGACCAGCTGACTCTGAGTGGAGCTGGCCTGGGAAGACTGGGGTTGCAGGGAGGAGCTGACCCGGGATTAGGAATTCATGTGGCCATTCAAGACAGTGTTTAGGAAGCTTACATAACCACATAGGGAGACACGTGTGGTATGATTTTAAGTGAAAAAAGAAAGAAGCATGCTAAGTGAATATTTTGGCCAGCTACTGCAATGTATAAAATAAACAAAACCAATAAACCAAAACTATGTATGTGGAAGAGAGATCAGAAAGGACCCTATTACAGGTTGAATGCCCTTATCTTAAATGCTTGGACAATAACTGTTCTGGAGTTTGGATTTTTTTGGATTTTGGAATATTTGCCTTATACTTACCGGCTAAGCATCCCAAACTGAAAAATCCAAAATCAAAAAAACTCAAAATGAGAATTTCCTTTGAGTGTCACGTCAGTGCTTCTAAAGTTTCAGATTTTGGAGCATTTGCATTTTGGGTTTTTGAATTTTGGATGCTTAACCTGCATTAAAAAGTTTAATAGTAATTACCTGGGTAACGGAGGCTGGGAGCGGTATTCGAGCCTGTAATGATAGAACTTTGGGAGGCTGAGGCAGGTGTATTGCCTGAGCTCAGGAGCTCCCTACCAGCCTGGGCAACATAGTGAAACTCCATCTCTTAAAAAAGAAGAAGAAGAAGGTAGTTGTCTGGGTAGTGGGACTACGGGTTTTTTCTTTTATTCTTCTCTCTAATATTATCTTCTAAATTTTCTTACATTAACTCAAACCATTTTCATAATGTAAAAGGTGAACATACTAAAATAAGAATTAGCTGTGGCATAATTCTTCCCCAGAATGGACAGCAGAGATCTGAGAGATGCTAACTTTGTGACTAGCGAGTGAGGTGTGCAGTCTAGAGAGGCTACATTTTGTTGCGTAAGTTATTAGAGGTCCCGGCATCCCTATTCTGGATAGAAATATTTCCTCTGCGAGATTTGGACAGTGGTTGGGCATGGTGGCTCATGCCTGTAATCTTAGGAATTTGGGAGGCTGAGGCAGGAGAATCATTTGAGGCCTAGAATTCGAGACGAGCCTGGGAAACACAGTGAGACCCACATCTCTACAAAAAAATAATTAGTTAAATAAAAATAAAAAATAGCCAGCCATGGTGCATAGCCCTAGCTACTCCAGAGGCTGAAGTGGGAGAGTCACTTGAGCCTAGGAGTTCGTGGCTGCAGTGAGCTGTGCTCACACCACTGCACTCCAGTCTGGGTGACAGAGTGAGACCCTATCTCTTAAAAAAAAACAAAATAAAATAAAATAAAATAAAAAAGAAATTCAGACTGTCTATAAAATCTCCCTGGCTCGGCTTTTCTAAAGGCTTATGAAATGTTTTCAGAGATGGCAGCTTTTCGGTTACTGTGTATCCATGTTCTCCTTAGGGTAGAACCCATTTCTACCATATCTATTAGGTTTATGGAACCTCGTCCTCCTCATGCATCTTACTCCAGTCTTCTAGTTTTAGAACTAATTATGAACATAACACTATCGAATTTCCATGGACTCCTTAGTTTACTAAATCATGGGGCTGGCCAACCTGTAGGGTTTATGAGAGATAGCTGGGAGGCAATGACTGATTATTTCTCATTCTTACCGATGAGACTAATGTAGGAGACTTGGTAGTGAATTACTTATTTTACCAAGATTTTCATTTAATAAAATCCATACTTCCTTCTGCAAATTTTTGGATTTTTAGACATAAAGTCTGTTATGGTCTAAATGTTTATGTCTCTTCTACAAAAATTCATATGTTGAAATCCTAACTCCCCAGGTTATGGTATTGGGAGGTGGGGCCTTTTGAATGTGATTAGGTCATGGAGATGGACCCTTATATTATAAGGGGCTGAAGAGACCAGAGTTCTTCCTTTCAATCATTTCAGGACACAATGAAAAACTGACTTTCACTGAATCTGCTAGCACCTCGATCTTGGACTTCCTAGCTTCCTGAACTGTGAGAAAAGGATTTCTGTTGTTTATAAGCCACCTAGTTTATGGCATTTTGTTATAGCAGCCTGAACGGACTAAGAGGACCGCCTTAGGAACTCTTTGATACTTAATCTCACGATGTTGCTTTTGGTACTGAATCTGCCAGGTGTTTGTGCTGCCGTTAGCCATGACCTTGTTTAGGATTGGGTGAGTGTTAAATTATTGTGCATTGCTGGAGAGTTAAGATCACTCTGTGTTACTGAATTGAGTTGATAACAGTACTTACTGTGATCTTATGATACAAGCCACATTCCAAAGTCTTGTCCTAAGAGTTTAACCTATCGGGTTGCTCTCATGTGTAATCATTTCATAGTTGTATATACTGTAACTTTTGTAACTTAGAAAATGACAACAACAATCCTCACCTCAAAAGCTATTAAGACAATTAAGTACAACAGTATGATTAGTATACTGCTTGGCAGATTGTAAGTGACATATTGGACCTGTTAAGCAGATGCATGCTGGTTACAATGCTCACTCAGACAAAGCCAAAGGATGTTTACCAAACCCACAGCCCCTTCTGAGCACTTCCTCATGTGGAGGCCACCATGCTTATATTCCAAGGACCTGCCCTGTTGAATTCTGAGGATTAGACTCAGGGAGGGCACTGGACCTAAAAATGTCATTCTCTAGCTGATCAATAGCTTATGTAGTTATACCTGTCTCTGCCTATCTGGAATAATAGTGGCTAGCCCGCTCAATCAGGTCCTGTTTTAGAGAGCTGGACTCATGACATACTTGGCGGGTCTAGCAGCAGGAGCAATACAGACTGAGCTATAGCTCTGCTCTGCTTCGCTCCTTTTCCTCTCTCTGCTTTCTTCTGGAAACAGACCCCAACCTTCTAGCCATAGCTACTTTAGCTGGGTCAGAGTACTTCCCTTGGATTTTTCTGAATGGGTTCTGGTCCTTCTCAGGTTAGGAGGTTCTGTGCAGCCAGGCTTCCTATGCACATGCCTGCGAGGGCCCAGTGGGTAACTTCAGTGAGAATTGGCCAGGTGCAAAAATAATGGGGCTGGGGAGGTCCCAGGGTCCCAGGGCCAAGCACAAAGCATGTCCACCAAAGGCAACCAAATTAAAGGAGCATGTGTACCTGTCTTGGCCAATAAAATAAGTGAAGTTTTAATGTAGTCCCCACTGCTAGATAATGTCAACTCAGAAGCCTAGTGTAAGATCCACTCACCCTAAAGATGGACTTTCTCCAGGAAGAGAGACCATGGCTACAAGCACTTTATGGAAGGTGGCTCTTTGGTAACTGTCTGTATCAAAGATGGAAACCCGCCAGGCGTGGTGGCTCAAGCCTGCAATCCCAGCACTTTGGGAGGCTGAGGTGAGTGGATCATGAGGTCAAGAGATCGAGACCATCCTGGTCAACATGGTGAAACCCCGTCTCTACTAAAAATACAAAAATTTAGCTGGGCATGGTGGTGCGTGCCTGTAATCCCAGCTACTCAGGAGGCTGAGGCAGAAGAATTGCCTGAACCCTGGAGGCAGAGGTTGTGGTGAGCCGAGATCGTGCCATTGCACTCCAGCCTGGGTAAAAAGAGCGAAACTCCATCTCAAAAAAAAAAAAAGATGGAAACCCTAACGGAGAAAATGGATCTATGTGTCTGAATAAATAAAACTTCTGTAAGTTAAAAAATAATCGTAAATATAAATACATGTACATAATAATATGCTATACAATAAATAACATACAATACGTAAATAAAGTATAGTAACTAAATTATAAGACAAATGATAAGCTTTAAAAAGTACTTACATTGGTCAACATGTCTGTTTTTGTATCAGTTCCATGTTGTTTTGTTTACAGTAGCTTTGCAGTATGGTTTGAAGTTAGGCAGTGTGATTCTTCCAGCTTCGTTCTTTTCGCATAGGATTGCCTTGGCTGTTCAGGCTCTTTTTTGGTCCCATATGAATTTTAGAATAGTTTTTTTCTAGTTCTGTAAGAGCCCAGAAATAAAGTCACACACCTATGATCTTTGACAAAGCTGACAAAAACAAGCATGGGAAAAGGACTCCCTACTCAGTAAATGGTGCTGGGATAACTGGCTGGCCATATGCAGAAGATTGGAGCTGGACCTCTTCCTTTCACAGTATGTAAAAATCAACTCAGGATGGATTAAAGATTTAAATGTAAAACCTAAGACTATAAAAACCTAGAAGATAACCTATGAAATACCATTTTGGACATACAAACTGGCAA